TGCGCCCGCCGCTTATCAAGCCCAATTTGGTCTGGGCCCGAGGTGGGCTTCATAGACGGCGACTACTGTAGTAATATCTCCCGAAAAGAAAATAAAAAGAAATGCTCCAGACGATTCCTTGCACTTGCCCCCCGGCAAGGCCAGTGTTGCGAAGGTCTACCGCAATTTCATGCGTCATGGTAACGGTTGGTTCGAGTTAGCAGAACTCGGTGTCCAACTGACAATGGTGGTGTACGCTAAAGATAACAATTTACAAACTACACAAAATACCCCGGAACGGCCGAAAGGGAAGGAAAGTTGACTGAAATTTAATTTAGGCTCCCAAACAGCGCACGAAAACCCCATCCTTCTGTAATACGGGACAGGTAGTAATAAGGGATTGGTGGGGCAAATCAGGATAAGGGAAAAATAAATAAAAAAGCAGAGCGTATAAAAGTAGAAAATAATAGGAATAATCATCTAGACAACCAAATATTTGCGCGCGATATTTAAAATTAGAAATACGGCCAATAAGAAAGAGGAAGGTCTAATAGTGCCAAAATGGACACAATCGTCGACTATATCAACTCTACAGAGAGCTTTTCACAAGTGGGTCAGTGGAGTGATCGCTGAAGAGAGATTGCGGTCTCAAGCCAAAAGTGAATAGATCAGTAAGTCAAATATTCTGTGGTTTGTAATTGGGAATCGGTAAAAAAAACGAAAATATGCGTGCCTAGGCGCCCCGCCGATTTGGGTGAAAGCGAACTATTCAATCTAAACAATATTAGTTTTAGTTAATAGAGAGATGATATAGAGTCGATGATTGTGTCTTATTTTGCACTATTGGGCCGTTTTAATTGTCGCGCGAAATAATCGGTTATTTAAGTAAGCTGTAGTAGACCCTAAATTAAACGTTCACCGGAAAGTCTTGATGCAGGAATGGGAATGGAAAGAGTGGAAAGAATACTCAGAGATAACAACAAAAGTTCCTTACCGAGACAACATCCAGTCTACCGAGACGGCCAACCAGCATTGTGAGCCCAGAGCGAACGACGAAAGTTCGCGGAAGTATGAATCGCAATTCCGGACGGTAAAGACTAAATTTCTTGCCTGAGGTCCACGCCAGGTACTCCGAGAGTTGCTTGGGTGACAGATAGTTGAGGGTCTGCGTGGGAAAAAAGAAAAGAACAGGTGCTTCTAAACGCTTAGAATTGGGTACATCAGCAATCAGATGCACTGAGTGTTCAAAATAAATCCACTATGGTCCGAAAGTAACTCCTGCGAACAGGGATTTAGAAGCCTACAAAAAAGCCATCCCCAATTGCCCTGGTTTACATAAAAGTCTAATTGGCCCCTTATTGCTTTGGACAGTGTTCTCCGGTATTAAAATGACGAGCAATAAAGAAAAATAGGTTATATTAACATGGCGCAAAACAGCGACGTGGCCGTTGTAGACATTTCTGCCCACCAGCCGGAAAGAGTAGGGTACGGGAATATGGACCTCCCGCCCAGCAGTATTGCAGGTGGCCTTACGCCATATTCCATAGTGGCTAGAATAATGAGCAGGCTTCTGATGATAAATATTAGGGCCGGGAGGGTTAGGGTTAGTGCTACGATTAAAGTTATTACACGGAGGTAAGTAATCGCCCGGAGTTCAGCGCGAGGCCACTTCTAGTGGGCGGTGGGTGTCCATGTTTCCCTTTCAAATCTCCGAAAGCTTACGAGCAGATTTTCTCAAGTACCAATAATACAGAATTGGCTGGCTGCAAGGTGCACGACATCAGAAACCCGTGTCGCCCGTAGTCTAATTTTGTTACTTACAGTCTCAGCAATCGCTGCCCAGTTGGCGTTCTATGCCTGGACACTAAAGAATGTCGGCTCCAATGTACTTTGCAGACGTGGTGACCTTGCCTTATCTGTCAAAGGTCTTAGTTAACCACATACACGGCTGCGACGTCAACTAAGGAAGATGACGCCTATTCTGTATTCCTATTTCATTCTAAGATGCGATGTGATCAAAATATCTACGATGAGGATGTATGAGAGCCCGAACATAACCTTGTGTTATAGATCGGCGGTGAAGTTTCAGGTTCAAGACTTGGGCTATGAGCCAAAAGCTACAGCATTCTCCAGAGGTGCCCATTGCTAGACTTCTCGAACGTCCTCAGGTTAGCAGCGAAACCTTTCGCAGCTGTACAACAGAGCGAAGCTCACCGTTTAGCCGCATATATCCGAATACTTCTTGGCTTCTGAACCTCGCTAGGAGAGCATCGACAAGTCTCGAGCCTGCAGAGCATGGTACAAATTATTTAAGCGCTGTCACTTTTCTCATCAGTCAAAAGCCCACGTAAATCGAATTGGACAGAATATTTGATCGTCTTGAGGCCTCAAGACGAAGGGTCACTGTTTGTGATGTGATATCCTAGAACAATACTTTTACCTTCCAAGTTTTCAGTTTCAGATAAGGCCATTGCGGTCAAGAGCGACATGCGTTTCTCCGAGCAGCGTGGGGCCGTCGGCGTAATGAAGGTCCGAAACGAAATGGTCCTGCCTCAGCTGGAAGTGCTAGGAACAGCACAAAATCTGCCGGATGATTACAAAGGACTGTCGAGAGATCGCAGTCCTTTCCATCGCTAGCGTTGATGACAAGGTACTTAGTCCGCTCACCGTGTGCTCAAATGATGGTTCTTGTGTGTCCTAAGCAATTTCAGGAGTTTTGGGCGCATAGTATCAGTTCCAGTGGCCCAAAAAGTGTATTAACCAAGTCCAACGATATTGTGAAGTCGCGGAAGCAGACAACAAACTCTTTCTGAGGACAGTTCCATTACCCAAGATTCCTCTTTGGATGAATATAATATCTATAGAAAGATCAAACGCCATAGCTGTGTGGCGAAGATTGTCTATCATGCAACGAAACCTTAACCGTCAACGTGCAACGCAATACTGGAGTGCCAAACCCTCGTGTCAGAAGAGTGAATGTAAATGTCTACTCTTGGGATCAGGACCTACAAGAATCTATCCATCAACAAAACCGCCCCATGCAGCTAAGACATAACTGAATCTTAGACTACCAGAGACTCGCGGTTAGTCCATTGTGCTTGGGCTTAAGGAAAGTTCGTTGATACGGGGAAAAAACCAGTCTTCCTGCCCAAGCAGCATTTTTCACTTAGACTACCGCCACGTACAGAGACCAGTCCCCGTCAGACAACACTGAGGGTGCATTAGGGCCCCAAACAGGATCTTATAAGCAAATGCTCCGTCGGATTCAAGTGCATGCGCATACCTGCTGGGGGTTCTCCAGTCCCGGCGTGTCATAGCACCAGGCGTAAGGAGTGTACATTCGGGGGTCGAGGGATCCGGCAATCAGCAGCCTCTCACCGGTGTCCCGCAGTCCGTTTTCGGGCGCGGTCTCCAGCTGGACGGGCATGCGGAGTTGGTTGTGAAACATCTTAGCCAGATCCACATCTGTCTCCTCAAAGACCTGGTCTGAGGCG